CTATAGTGTACAGTCATTGCGAGATCAGAGTGCAGAGAGACTCAGTTGACTGTGGATCTAACTTTTCTGGAGGGGGAATCATTAAAACAGTCCCATCGCTTGATACCCCCCACGGCAGCGTTGCCCTTATACCCAATTGTTTCTCAATTAAATTGAAAGAGTTTGCAGCATGCAAGTGCAACAGTAAATAATACAGCTGCACGAAAGCTCAAAGACTGTCAATCAATTATCCCATTAGTGGAAAACTTTACAGAAGAGTGCTGTTTGTCTTGTGTGATTAATAACTGAAGCATGTTCCAGAGGGCCACACTCTGCTGCGGACTCATCGAGTCCATTTGAGGCCGATAACAAGGCAGATGGGGAGGAGGGGGGGGTCCTGTCGTAACCTCACTGTTATCCAAACCAGCATCTCTTATTCCTTTGTGCAAAAACATTAACTTAACAACAGAACCGAGGTCATCCACTATTCTCTTTATGGAGCAATCACAGGAGGCAAAATGGGCTTTATTGAAATAATGAGCATGCACATACAACATCTGACACAGACTCACAAGATTTCTCTGTGCTTTGAAGAGAACAAACACATCGGTGAAACTTTAAGCATTCTCTTTATTTCTCTTCCTCAGATATCTTGTGAAAAGAAAACAAATATCATCGCAGACTCCAAAGCACTTCTCGTCTCCCGTGTACAGAACTAATCAGCCTGTGTTACTCGCCCAAGGTCTTCCCATTTTTTATTAGCAACATTCAGCCCCCAGAGTGAGGCAACATGAAAGAGAAAGAAGAGCGCTCAAAAGATGGCTTCGTCTGTGCAATTTATGTCAATCTCACTTGCTTTAGCGTGTTTACAGAGAGATCAATTCCCAAACTCCGAGGGCCAACATTGTCAGAAATGAATAATTTACTAATGATAACCTTAAACTTTCTGTTTTTGCCATAATTGCCTCTGTAATACTCTTCCTGATTTTTTCTGCGCCAAACAGACATGACTAGAATCAAAGCAGCGCTGCTTGTTTTTTTCCACAGCGGTGACAAAAAAAATAATCACTTTGACCTTCTGCTGTTAACAGACTTGGAAAAGTAGCTTTCAAAGCGCTAACTGTGAAGTTATGATGTCTTCTAATTTCTTCGAATGTCTACACATGTTCCAAATTACTTATCTGGATTTTTTAAAGCATTTTTGATAAATACAAAGCTTGCGCTGACCAGTTTTCCTCGCCCTCTACTTAGCCCTTTAAACTAGTCTGAGGCCAACAGCTCAGTGCTCTGTTATATCCATTCCACAACTGAGAACTGTTTAAGATCTTGCATAAGCATTAGGGTGCGAATATCTGCGCTCCACGCATGGCTCATCAATGAATTATGGCCCACTGCTTTCTAAAAGATACCGCTGTGTGAGATCTGCTTAGCAGATGAAAAATTACATCTACATCAAAGGGCTACTCTTAAAAGTCCAAGTTTAGAAAAATTAATATTTGATAATGCTCAAAGTCTGCATAAGCACACAGGCAACGAGTGCCTGATAATCTCTTAAGAATACTAAAAGCCCTAATATGCCATATTTACTGATATTACGGATTAAAACAGCATATAATATGCGTTTAAAAATCGTTTTGCATATCAAACTACAATTTGTGAGCAGTGATTTAATGGTAGTTAATAAGACTCATTTCAAAAGGCACAGTACAGATGGACACACTAAGTTTCTCTCTGCCACCTTGTGGTCATTTTCTCCAACTGCAGGGTTGAAGTGGAAATGAAAAGGGTGTGCAAAACATTTTTTTTTATTACTATCTTACAATATACCTGACATTTTAGAACCTGATACGGACACATGTGAGGTGCGCATAATATACAGCTGTTATTAAAGCGGTAAGCCACAAATATCATACTGTAGGTTTATAACCAGGCTATGACACAAATAATAAAGGCCAGAATTTATGGTCTGCGGGAATTTCCCATTTTAAAAATCCAAGCTGCAAAGTATCTTCTTAGTTATCTGAGTTATTTTTGGAACTGCTACAAATACATGGGTAGTTTGACTATGTAGCTACATAAAGACGTAGGGACAGCGTAACTAGACTGTCGCAAACTTTGTTATCAATTTATCAGCATTGAAATGTAACCACTTGAATTCAGCTTTGAGCCACTTGTACTCTTCCACATTATGATGATAAAACCTGATTTATTGCTATCATTTAAAAATGATCAAATAATATAATGTATATTCATACACAGACAAAGCTAACATGCAACACAGACTGATTCAGTACAAAGCGACGCACAGGCTGCATTACTCAAAAGCTGAACTGCACCTTCAGAGTGTGTCTGAGTGTGATAAGTGGTGCTCAGCCGAAGGCTTAACAGCACTCCTTTCTTTCTGCCCTACATTATGAGACTCTTGGTCTGTAATTTTCAAATGTCATTCAGAGAAACGAGGCTCAGCCATGACCTGGCCATCTTTGGGTGCTCCGAAGATACTTTTAAACTTTCATTTGATGTGCAGCTCTCAGCAGTGAGGTCTAAAAAGGTATTCTTCCTAATTTCCCCCCAGTATATAAACAGCAAAATGTAAATTTCCTGTATTAATATATTGACATTTCTCCCATTGAAACAAGTAAATAAGACACTGAATAATGGTTACTGTTTATAATGTCAGGCTGCGGTGCTGTAGTTGCTGTTTGCTTTTCATTTTAAAATCTGTTTTATGATGCTCCTGCTCTTTCACCTGCAATATCTGCAGCTTGTGTGCAGAACTGGGAAAAGTTTCTACACTCTGGCCTTATCTGCGTCACCGTGTCCACTTTAAATCACTAATAAATCACAATTTTCTCAAAAATACTGCCTTTAATGACGCGTCGCAGTAATAACAGCGCAGGTGTAAATAATGTATTAATAAATGTCTGGGAAAAAGGTCATCGCTGGTTCTGAGCTGATGCGGACGTGTGACTCACGTTTCAACTCGAGCTTGATTTATAATTGAAAAAAAAAAAAATAGAATTTAAAATGCCGCAGAGTGGTCAGGTGCTGACCTTGAATTCAGACTGAGGTGTGGAAGCAGTCGTCATTAGCGAGCCAGTTCACCTGCGCTGCTGGAGAGAGAATATATGAATTTGCTGCATCTGACGTGGTGAACTTGGTAATTCGCATACTGTCTTGTGCCCTGTGATTTAAACTGGTTGTCTGCCTCTCTTTGTTAACCAGCTTCAGCATAATGATGTAGTTTTCTGTGATGTTCCAACACCATGGCTGGAGGCAGGAGTTTAGTCAGCAGCGTGCAGGATCAAGAAAAAAAAAAAGTGAGCCACTGAAAGTGGAGAAAAATGGCTCGCAGTACCCCAAGGTAGGAAATAAATTGCAGACGATAACTAGCGAAGCGAGGCACAAACAGCATAATAAATTGTTCGAGATTTTTGCTCTCATTTTGCAGAGCAAAATCAAACTTTGGAGTGCGCAGTTGGCAGGCCATTAAAAGAATTACTTCATGCTCTGAAAACAGAGGGATTGTGTCAATCCCTATATCTCACACAAAAAGACAACACGCTCCTCGGAATTGCTTTGTGTTTTCTGCCATCTAGGTGGGTGCAATGACGAGCTCAGATCACAGCGAGGCAAGCACAAATACAGTAAGTGACTTGGAAATATCTCTGAAAGAAACACATCTCTGTTGAATAAGGCGCTAAACCAAAAGTTAATACACACTGGCGTGGAGTAGATAAATATTTATGCACAAATATTTATGTCTTACAGTTTTGCAATATATCAATATTAATGATTAATGATCTGCATTCCACACTTTTAATAATTTAGCAAAGATAAATAAGTCATATTTCGCCCACTCTATAAATATGCAACAGATCTGGAGAAATTTTTGTTGTCTGCAGACTATCTCTTGTTGATAATAGCAATCACTGGAGCAATGTACGCTGAAAGATTTGTTAGTTGTTTGCTTAATCCAATTAATATTTCATAAGTTTGTGAACATGAGAATTATCACTCCAGCAGTGATGCAGGCACCACACGCAGACCGGGTTTCCCCCAAATGCAATGGTCAAAGACATTACTTCACACAATAAAAACAGTAAGTTTTAAAATCCACTATTAAGTCTGAGCTTTTGCTATGAAGCAAAATCATAATATTCAGACTGAGGTGTTTTTTTTAGACTTTAGAGTTATGTTAAGTGAAATTTATGCAGTACGATTGCACCAGTCTTTTGGATATGTTTGCTAAAATCTTCTGCACGCCATCCAGAGATCTTCTTCAGCGTCTGAGGTTCGTTAATCACACGCCCTGTCCCGGATTGTCTAAAAGGAATCATGTGGAGCAAGGCAACATTAACAAAAATGTTAATAAATACCACCACAGTTCTCTGAAGCACATGATGACACGCTTTTCTTCCCCCTGACTCATGAAGTTTGAAAAGCACCGTGGTTTTCCAGTGGAAACATGGAAATAACACTTGGGCAAGAGAAAACATGAGACGGTATTAATAATGCATTCTGCATCATTATGCTACAATTTAAATGAGGGTTAAAGCTCACTGCTTTACTTGTACAAGACCAATTGGACATTAAATATACAACAGAAGCATTTTTCCTCCACCATATTCACTCATTCATTGGAGGCATTTTCAAATGCAGTTCAAGGTCACATACACTATGAGACATTTAACCCCTTCTGTCCTGTCCTGCTTGCAGTTCAAGTTTTTATTTCAACTGGGGGAAGCACAGTGTATCAAAGGATACGTGCGTCTCGATTAAAAATGTAATGCAAAATCTAATCTAATGCGACTAAAACGTTTTGAGCTTATTACTATTATTATTATTATAAAGTGCGTGTTTCTGTAAGAGCAGGCAAGCTCAAAACTATTCATAATCAGGTCAAGGTCATTTATGCCATTCACTAATTGTTACAATGTCAAATTCGAGGACGTTTGATAACCTAATAGTGCAAACGCGCCGTTTTCTTCGGACTAAGGTGGACACAAGGTGTAGGTGTGCAGTTCGGATGACGCTCGTTTCTCTACCTCCTACCGTGAACACCCCTCTCCTGCAGTCCAGAGTGCAACCTGCGTGCTTTTACAGCAAAATGGCGACAGTCTAATAGAGGGAGAGAAGACGGTGTCAGGCGCAGTGACAAACTTGAAGACATGAGCGCTCGTCCTGAGGTAGGTGTTACAGATGCGCGCAGGGATACGTCGTAGCAGGTGCGGTCATTAGTCGGTGATGTGTCACTTGTGTCGTAGGTCGCTGTGGAGGCAAAACACCGCAGTGAGTGATAACAGGCAGCAGCTTTGTAGTCTTACCTTAACTTAAGTTGCTTCACTATTGCGACACTCACTCTTTGTCCAAGATATCGCTGCTGGAGTTTCTCCGTCTGTGGGAAGAGCAGCAAGCTCGCTGTCGCATAGCCAGTCAAAGTAAAGTCACGGCTCTTAGCTAGGGAGCTTTTTGCTGAAAAGAACAAGGCATAGCAAACTGAAGAGTGATGCAGGACACTAAGAAAGTTTTAAGCTGCCAGAATTGCCAGTGGCTAAAATAGAATTTAATTCAAAGAGCCCGCAGGGTTTAGACCCTAAGTTGGGCTTTTAGTGGCTGAGCTGGCAATACAGTGGAAAAACACTACTGGAGAAGCATTTGTTAAGGGAATAGATGAACGCATGAGTGAGGTTGGATTCGACCTTGAGTCATAGCAGTGGCTATGAACTAAATGCATGTAGTGTACTGGGAACGATACAGCATCCTGTAGCAGAAGCCTGTACTAGCTGTCACTGGGTGAGAGGTGAGGAAGTTCTGTTAATCAGTTAACCCACAACACCCAGTCAAGATGAACATACAGTAAGAAAACTCTTTCCTGAAAAGCAACAATGAACTTATCAAGAGGGCGCCTCATGTGGCATTTGGAGAAACATTGCTTTATTATAATTTTGTTTAGTTATGAGCTCAGATTTATATTTCTAATGAGTGTTTCCTGTGATTTTAGGGTTTTACAGTTTTTTGCTGTGAGTGTGCATCGCATTCCTGTTATCACCTTTATGCTGGAGGTTTAGTCAAATCAAAGTGTAGACCTACATAAGTGAGTCCATCACTCCCTGCAGGTGTCTAAGGAGGAGCTTAAACAGCTATAGAAAGAAGGCAGCTGCAGCTTAACAGCCTAGTGTTGGTTTTACCGCATTAGTATACCGCAGAGAGTAAAGGAGTCAACTGCTCGACTAAATAAATCAGATGGTTGAGGCATGTTATCCACGAATTGATTGTATGTCACTTGACAAGGTCAAATATTTTAACCAAGATGCCTGAAGTCCCTGAATGCACAGCATAGCAAACAGTTACGTGTTCTCTGTTGGCCTGGCTGGCTGCTTACACAGCTATAAATGAAGACACGTGGGACTTCTTAAATGGGAGTACACTGGCCTGAATTAGCAACTCAGCTGAGGAACAGCTGCAGAGATGAGATATTTTAGTAATCAGATGCTCCCACCAAGAATTTGCAGGAATATATCAGACGGGAGGTTTTCATAGAACCACATTGACTGGACCACTGTAGTGTTCACACCACTAGCTGTTTCTCTTGGTGGTGAACATTTCAAGCCCAGTTCAGTTTCCACTGGGCCTGAAACCAGATATTGTTTTCATTATTCTAAACCACATAAAATGCTGGAAAATGGCGAAAATGTCCAACCCAGTTTTTCAGAGTCCAAGATGATGTCAGTGAGTGCTTGTTTTAGCCACTCAGCAGTGCAAATGCTCAACTACTGCATAAAACAGTGAAAAGCAGGAAATCAAAACAATTTTTTTTTTTTTTTTTAGCATTTTTGTCCAATATTTTATGTAATGTGGTGCAAAATATTTTGTTAAACTAGTAACTGCTTAACTGACTAAAGACATTTTAGCTCCAGTTGACATATTTCTTAAATTTTAATCCTCTTTGACAAAGCTTTTCCTGATTTTTGGTAAATGGTGAATGGACTGATTCTTATATAGCGCTTTTCTACTCTCCCGGAGTACTCAAAGCGCTTTATACAACATGCCTCATTCACCCATTCATACAAGCACTTCTAAACACAAGTGCAAAGTAATCTACATTCACACGCATTCACACTCCGATGAACGCAGGGCAACTTGGTATCTTGCCCAAGGATATTTGACATGTAGACTGGGGAAGCCAAGGATCGAACCACCGACCTTCCAATCAGTAGCTGATCTGCTCCACCCTTTTTGTGTTCAATTTAAAAATAATGAGGGAATGCGTGGATATCGCCTGTTCCTGATAACTGTGGTGATGCTTAAGTGTGATTTCTACCCACAAGGAAGTCTAGCGAATTATACCAAAGCTATACAGCCATGCCTTGACGATATATCGGGGTTGTGACTAATTATTTTCATCACTGATTAGTGTAAAAATTATGTTTTTTTTCTTGCCTACAAATTTTCTGAAACCAGTAAATAATGAACTTGATTTGTCCTTGATATTGTATATATTGCTCTATCATTTTCTGTTGGGGCCCCAGAGAGTCAAAGCCCTTTTTAACAGGTTAAAACAAATACTTGATTTATTACTTACTATTGATTTATTACCTCGATACTCACGCCTTGTCACATTTTTATAATGATGATTATGAATCTGATTTTAAACTGATGCTCTGTTTTGAGAGTCACATAAAATGACACGTGATCTGTTGGTCAACAAGAAAATCAGCTCTAAAATATGCTGACAATACTTTTTAGCTTCAGAAAATAATAATTAGCTTCTTTAATATATTTCATAAAACAAGTTTCATAGACTATTCTTTATAGTCTAAAAGGGTGGACGACCCTAATATGGAACGTGGGTAGGGCTTTAGCCAAACAGAAGCTCCACCCACCTGCTTTTTAAATCTTTTTGTTTGGGAGAGAGAGCCAATCAGGAAAAAGGTGGTTCAATGAGAGGAAGCTGAAACAGCTTGTTTCTCACAATCTGCAGGATTATTTCAAACAAAAAGGCTCCTGTGATATTCATCAAATATGCAATGTCAGTTTGTGACAAAGTGAGGGGATCTGAACACTTCACTCAGTGAAATTGCAGAAATAAAATTTTACTCCTGTGTTCTCATTACCGTCCCAGTGATTTGATTTCAATGTAAATAAACAAGTTAGCTAACCTGGTCTTATTGGTGGACCCAGGTTAAGAAAAGTGCTGCTTGTATAGTGTGTGTTAGCAGAAAGAGATGGAGTTAGATGATATTTCATTCTGCGTGGTCATTTGTTTTTACATCTGTGTGGATTGCATTTACTGATGACCAAGTGTGCTCAAGTTGGCCCAGTGACATTTGCAGCCTTAATAATTTTTGGTTGCTTTGCTTTTGCATTTTAACAGTAATACGCAAGTAAAACAGGCAATAGAGCTGAAACACCAAAGGCAAAAATATTCTTACAGAAATAAAGTTGGTTAACTTGAAAATTATTATTGCTTAAGTTCGCACAAACAGTGAAGATTTTAACGGCTCCAAAACAATAAGAAAGCTGCTGAGAATGGAGACATATCCCCTCCGGCAGTGTGTGTCAGATGGACTCACAAAATCTTACCAAGGCTTTTCCCCTCATGTGATCCGTTTAGTGTGCAGCTTGTCAGCATAATAATTCTAAAGTTTCTGAACATTTACCTGCTTTTGGCTCCGTTAGAGGTGTTTTATGAGAACAGTGTGGAGTAATTATTGCCTCAACATACACTGATAAGTTAGGGCGTTCTGATTTGTTACAGCGTGATTATCCATATCAAGCTTTTTTCCATATGACAAAAGACAGGAGCATTAATAGGATATTGTCTCTCTTTAGAAGTCATAATGATCCATTCATGGTTTAGTATTCAGACAAGAATAACAACAAAGTGACATGCAGTGAAGCATACATGTCCATAATTTGTTTCAAAGAGCCGCTGAACTGAAATAAATGTATTTGAGCAGTAAAGACGAGCTTAAAATGTGTGTTGATTGTGTTTTATTTGTAAAGTGAAAAAGTGTGTGTGTGTCTAACTTTCTTCTGCTATCATTATTCTAATCATAATCTCAGAACATAAACCTAAAATGTGACCCTCTCTGAGAAGGTGTTATCATGCAGAGGCACAGTCGCGTGTCTCCTTACCAGCTTAACACCTGAAACTGTAGCTCAGATGTGTGAAATGCTCTGAAACTATAGCTGGGTGTGATTACCAGTCAAATTAAATCTGAGATGTCAGTTACATGTGTCAGTGCTTCCACTCCTACTCTTGGCAGGTTGCGGGGAGTGACAAGCTGGCTGTTGATTATTTTCCAGTGTGAAACAGAATCACTGACACACAGTTAGTGTTTACAATCCCCGAGTCTTTGTTTAATTTCCTTAAAATATAAGTGACTTTTGTGATTTCTGATGTTGGAATTGCCATGACACTGGCATCGTACCGTCAGTAAATACTCAGCTGACTGCTGGATGGTATGTGCTTCTTCTCTGTTTGTATTAGCGAAATGTCAGTAAACGGTCTAGTAAAATCGAATGAAGCACAGATGTTGCAGAAGCTGTTTGTCTAGATGTTTTGTCAGTATTCTGGTTTAAAAAGCAACAGTTTTGTAACATTACTATTTTTTGACCCAACAGATTAATGAAAAAATATGGCATGGTTTCATTAGCTTTCACCAGCTTTTATACACAATGTCAGTAATCATTCGGCAGCCTATCCTGATGTAATAAGTCAAACTCCCTGCAACATTTTAGCTGTATTTAACAACATATAGTGATGTGAAATGGCATGCAGTCTATAACAATATGAAATGGGTTGGATGGCATCATAGCTTTAACAATGCCATGTTAAGGTTCCACCTCTTTACATTACCTTTTTACCTTTTGTTATTGGCTCCATCTCTGAAAGTACCCACGGTTTACGAACCTTATTTTTAATATGAGAAAAGATTGGGTTTCAGCCACTTAACGGCAACCACGAGTAGGATTTGTAACAAATCGATTTTATTTTTTCTGTGGTTTTGCATTTGTTTCTGCAATTTAAACTCTTGCTTTTTGTTTGTCTTTGTCCTGCTTCATTCACTGCTGCCACTTCTGCTGCAAACAGTATGAAGATAATGGGAGAGCTTTTCATTTCCTTGATTTGTGACGGCCGCTCTACTGTGAAGGATTCTTAGAAATGTATTTTAGATGAATA